CTCTAAGCTGACAATTTAACAAAATATCTGCTCTTATGAAACTTCCCCACCACCTTCACAAGCTCCTTTTAGAAAACAGAAGCCAGTAGCAGGAGGCCCTTGACAGCTACGGGTTAGACATCTGGGGATTGCTTGGTCCTCTACACTGAGCAGTAGTGATTGCTCATAGTTGTGTTGTTTCTCGTCACTGGTAGGTTCATGCTTCTAGGTTGTCACTTTAATCTTTTCTACAAAACTGTAAGTTCTACCTTCATTAAAATCCCTACAAGTTCCCTTTGAGCACTGACTATCCCTTCTGTTTACTGATGGACACTCAACCCATGTCAAATCTTAAATCCGTTCTGTGCCATAAGAATCACCATCACAACTGACCCACATTGTATATATTTTAATAGAAATTGCTCTAAAGCCAAAGATGAAAGACTTGGCACAGTTCACACAACTTCTGTCCTTAGCTGATGCCATCATTCTGAATGATGCCTCCCATTACCATTTAGGTAGCTCATAAAGCAATCAGTTTGCAGTTTGCCTCCTGCCAGCTGCATTCTTCCAAAGCAGCCTGCTGTTATGTGGCCTGGCCAAAAATTTCTGCCACCTTTACCTCAATCCATGGACATTTCACCATGGTTATAACTTTAGCATTTCTACATTCATTACTTACTGTTTTGGTTACTTTTCTCTTGTTGCTGAGACAAAGCACCTGACACCCAAAAGTAAGGAAAGAAAGTTTATTTACCTCACAATTTGTGGAGGTTTCAGTCCATACTTGGTTGGCTCCAAGGCAAAGTGGCACATTGCAGAGGGCAACTGTTCATGGTGGCAGAAGATAGCAAAAAGCAACAAGAGCAAAAGGGAGGAGTGGTGGCAACAACCTCTTTCCTTCCCTTACATTGTATGCAAACTATCTGCCCCAGGGCGGGTGTAGCACTCATACCCATGATCCCAGCATTGGATCATGGATCAATCATCAACTCTAAAAGCCTGTCCCATGACTGCATGAGGCTTTGGGGAAACATCCAGACATAAACCGTAACACTTACCATGGTTCATTCAATTTTTTGGTTAGTTTTTAAAAATTTTGTTTTTATAATTCACCTCTTGATTCTTAAATCTTAACTCACTTTAGTTTTATAATTGTTAGTAGACAGAAACCACAGGCAACTCTATCCCTGTGCATGATCAAGACATTTATTAAATTAACTTATGACAAGCTGCTCTAAACGCCCAATTATATTTATCTATTTACATATTCACTGTGCTTTTTTTTATCCTTTTGACAGGATTTCACTGTGCAGTTCAGGCTGGACTTGAAGTCACTTTTTTTTTTTTGTTTTTTTTCCCGTACCGGGAACCGAACTCACAACCTTGTGCTTGCCAGGCAGGCGCTTTGCCGCTGAGCTAAATCCCCAGCCCAACTAAATCCCCAACCCTGAACTCACTTTTTATAGCCCAGTCTGGCCTCAAACTTGAAGCAATCCTGCTGCCTTAGTCTCCCGAGTGTTGGTATTACAGGTGTGTGCTACCATGCCTGGTTCACTGTGCATTTTTATAATGGGTTTATCAAATATTTATTACTACTGAATCTGTGTTTTCTTTTACATAGTATTCATTTTTGGGGGGGCGTTGGGGATTTAGTGACATCACTTTAATGAAATATCCACATGAAGCTCAAGACAAAATGTCATTTCCTGAATAGTGGAAATATGCATGCATTCACATTATAATTTTTACAGAAATTACCTTTATAAAATTGAGTCATGAAGATGTTCATGTGAATTGTATTCATTGTGCATTAAGCTAGTAGATTATCTATTTCTAGCAAGGTAGGGGCTGATTAAGGCCCTGGCTATCACTCTATTCATCTTTTGGTTGAGCCTCTGCTGCATTCTTACCCTCCCTGTCCCTTCCACTTTCGCTGAACAAGTTTACAGTTTATAAGAGTCTTGGTTACTTTTCTCTCATTGCTGAGACAAGATACCTGGCACCTAGAATTAAGGAAGGAAGGGTTTATTTACCTCAGAGTCTATGGAGGTTTCAGTCCATACTTGGTTGGCTCCAAGGCAGGGTAGCACATAGCAGAGGGCAACTGATCATGGTTGTGGAAGATAGCAAAGCAGCAAGAGCAAAAGGAAGGAGTGGCAGGGAGAGCAAGCCTCTTTCCCTTCCTTACATATGCAAACTACCTGTCCCAGGGCAGGTATAGCACTCACACCCATAATCCCAGCACTGGACCATGGATCAGAAAAATCTAGAAACCTGCTCCATGAATGCAAGAGGATTTGAGGGGACATCTAGACACAAACCATACCAATAAGGAAATGTTTTGCTCTTCTATTAGTGAACACCTGGATGACAGACTTGATGTCCAGGACTCTTGCTCCTGCCAAGCAGATTTTCTCATGTTTTAAACTTGAAGGTAAGGCCTTCCTTAATAGAATCAGCCCAAAGTTTTGATCATTATATATTCATTTCATGGACTTGATTCAACTAATATCCATTTATCACCTTCTATTATTCAAGCACTCTTCAAAATGCTGGGTTTTAAAAGATAAGTAAGAGGACTTGGGAGGGTATGCTGTTTTCAGTTTCCTCAATGGTGGAACACAATACTCAATAGCAACAAATTAAAGGAAGAACAGTTTACTTTGGTTCACAGTTTGTAGAGGTTTCAGCCCATAGTTAGTTGGCTCCAAGGCAGGGGTGGCACAGGGCAGCAGGGCATTGCAGAAGTGAAGCTGCTCACAGCACAGTGCCTGGGAAGCAGAGAAAGAATAAAGAAAAGGACAAGCAGGGGAGAGAGAGGACCCTTCCAGCCCATGCCCCAGTGACCTACCTCCTCTAACCAAGCTTCACCCCCTATTCACCTCCTGAAAGCCCCACTTATGAGTGCAGGAGGCTTTGGGGGGACATTTAAATAGAAGTAATATGTCTCAGTAACTTTTCTTTTATTGCTGAGACAAACTACCTAACACCCAAAGTTAAAAAGGGAAAAGTTTATTTAGCTCATAGTTTGTGGAGGTTTCAGGCCATACTTGTCTGGTTCCAAGGCAGAGGGGCACACGGCAGAGGGCAACAGTTCATGGAGGCAGAAGACGGCAAAAGGAACAAGTGAGAGGTGGGATAAAGATAGACAAGCCTCTTTCTGTCCCTTATATTGTATCCAGTGTACCAGGATTAGGGTGGTGCCAATCCATTCAGTGGCCTGTTCCTGCAATCACCCACCCTTAATCCCAGCATTACACCACCAATTAATCACACACTCTAGATTCAGCCATCTCTGGAAAAGGCCCCTCTCACACTGCATGAGGCTTTGGTGGGACATCCAAACCATAAAGCCATAAATGAGTATAAATAGTAAATCTATCTCAAAATTATATAAAAATACATTAATAGAGAATTATGTGTATGTTAAAAGTAAAAAAGAAAACAAAAAAACCTCTGAAAATATTTAGTAATTATAAATTTTGTTTTGGAGAATGAAATGAATATTATTATTTTATAATTTTTTTAATAAACTATAAAATCACTGATCTCTTAAAAGAAGGCACACAGCAAAGAGAAGGCCATGTTTTTCCGTGTGCCCACCATGCTCATTGTCATTCTATGTCATAGCTTTTTATTCTCTGCAAAATGGCTACAGTGTTTCTCTGCTTGCAGGGCTTCCGTGCTTTCTGTCATGTGATGGTGGCTTTCATGGGTCAGCTGACCTGGTCCATGGGACACCCCTTGAACTAAGGATAAGTTAACCAACACTCGGGCCATCAGCTCATCAAACACCCTGTCACTAAAAGTGTCCCACAAGGTAATCAGTACTGGATGGTGACAGACCCACAGAGCAGGTCTCTCCTGGGAGTTTTTGGAGGTTACTTCAAAGACAAGGCAGAAGCTGTGAGACACACTGGGGCTTCGCAAGTTGTGAGACTCATCACAAGAGCCAAGAGACACTGAAGTGGAGAGAAGACAAGAGGAGAGACTAATGCTGAGAGAGAGAAGTGGTAGAACTGGAAATGGAGATCAGTACAGTCAGAGGCAGGAGACATCCTCAGAAGAAATAGCAGGAATTTACTTGCTGATATTACTGTTGGGTGCACAAGCTGATGTCAGGTCCCCAAGACACTGTGTGTCCTCAATGTGCTCAATATACTGAGGAGTTGCTGAGACACAGCCTCTCGATTCTTATTTACCTTGTCTTCCTCTCCCTGTCCCTCTTTCTCTTCTCTTCCTGTCTCGTCCTGTTTCTCTCTCTCTCTCTCTCTCTCTCTCTGTGTGTGTGTGTGTGTAGTGTGTAACTCTCTTCTTTCTTTGGGATGGGGATTGTATCCATAATCTTTGCAGTGAGCTATACCCCCAACCCTTTTTTCTTTTTTTTTTTGAGACAGGGGCTTGCCAAATTACTAAACCATGCCCAACTCCTTGTGTATCTTTAAAGCTATACTAACTAGATCATTTGAAAATGGTCTGGCTTTCTCAAGCTCCAATAAAATGGACCACTAAGGGCATTTACAAATTGCAAATGAATTATTTAACTGTAAGTATGTCTCTGTTACTATAATTTTTAAAAAGGATATTTTAAGGTGACCAAGAAAGGATAATAAATGTGGTATATTTACACAATGGACTATTATTTAGCCATTAAAAAGAGAGCAAAATCACGTCAGTTGCAGGAAAACAGATGGATATAAAAATCATAATGTCAATCAAAATAAGTCAGATTCAGGGAGTCAAGTATCATGTTTTCTCTAATATGTGAAATCTAGAACAAGAAAAAGAAAATATGAAATATGAAAGTAGAAAGGAGATTTTGCACGAAGTAAGGAATAGAATGAAATGTGGAGGGGGTTGGGAAAAAAAGGGAAATTGTACCCTAGATTATTTTCAATTTTTTTGTGGGAAAGAAGCTGCCTTAAATTTTTTTTAAAAAAAATGTGACCCCCCCCATGGGCCTTACATGTGTACTGATCTTGTTAGCATTTATAATCTGATGCTATTTAGTAATTCTATTTGTCTGCTTTGCAGGAGTTATCCATTTTTCAGATGGTCTTCAGAGAAGGTAAAATATAGTATATATTCTGCAACTCAAATTATTATTGTGCAAATAACTGAAAGTGAATGGAATAAAAGAAGAAATGTGAGGATATCATCTAAGCTAATTCAATTCCAATTTTCAATAAAACAAATTCAACTCATGTGTTAATCTGTTCCTTGCTAATAAAAAAAGCCTACATTGGCATGATCAGTTTAGCAATAGCTCATGTATCTTAAGAAGCTAAAGGTTAACCCAAATTTATAAAAATCCATTTAAAAGACCATTTTAAGTTTAGATTGTTTTCCTTTTCTCTTTTAGATTTTTTGTGTTTCTTCTTCAAATGAACCCAGCTGCAGCAAACAGAGCCAGGAGCTCAACCAACAACATGTAAGCAAATCTGGAGGCTTATTGCACAAAGGGGCCCAAATCCCTCAGCTACAGAATTATTATTTATCTTTATGTAGTTTCTAAGGTCATTTTTCCTTGCATTTCCCCTCCACATCCCACTGTAACAACTACAATAGGTATCTTTAGTTTTAGGAAAGATTACTTTAAAACTGGAAATTTTTCTGACTGTTGGAATAGGAAGGCGGGAGAATTAGAAAGAGGAAATAATCTGAAATATATGAACTTACTAATAAACTTAATTTGCAAAGGTTATCAAGCAAATTATTTTTTATATCAAAATAATTTAAAATTGTATTTTACCGTCTTTAACAATTTATTTCTGTATGCACCACCTTTGTGTATTCCTGTATAGGAATTAAAGTACTGGTTAATATTTTTCATTATTTTAGATTCACAGAATATTATTGTTTGCTTTGCCTGACTGACTTACCCATGTACTGATGAAACACAAATATGTAACAGTTTTGTGGAACATAGTGGCAGCCCTCCTATACAGATAAGACTTGGGAGAACTACAACAGACCCTTGTTCAACACAGCAGTGCTTCCATTAAGGTTAAACCACATAATTCACTCAGATTTTCCTTTTCCCTTTTCTCCCTCCTCTGATGGACTGTGCTGGATTTTGCAGTGTGGTCAAGGGTAGAGACAGAAGCAAACAATGAAGCTGGTATATTCTAAGCTGAGTTTGTGTTTCCTTTCCTTGCTTGAAAATGAATAGAGAGAAACACTAGAAGATAAGAAATGAATCCAACCCGATATCTTGTATTTTCTATCTGAAAATGCAAGTTATTTTTCAATTCTATTAGTAACACAATATGAGAGCAGTACTAGAAGATAAAGGTTCTGAATTATTTTATGATTTGTTCTTATAGATTGTTATTTATCTTAGCTCTTGCAGCAACTGTTTGACCCTGAGAAATTTACTCAAGTTGTCTGTAATTCATTTTCCCCTTTGGCAAACTGAGGACAATGATGTTAAATTTAGTTACTCAGTAAGAATTAAGTAAGCTGATGGTTTTCAGGGTTACTGGGTCCCTTCTCCTCCTTTACATTTTTTATTTCTCAATTTATTTATTTATTTATTTATTTTTGTCTTTTTGAGACAGGGTCTTGCTATGCAGTTCAGGCTGGCCTTGAGCTCACTTTGTAGCCCAGCTGGTCTTGAACTCACAAAGATACCTCCTGCCTCAGCCTCCCGAGTGCAGATATTACAGGCATGTGCCACTACACCTGGCTTCTCATTCTATTGAAATTTCATACTGTAGACCAGTTAGGAGTTACTGCTTCCTGGCCTTATGCTTAAATCTAAGCATCCTAAGATGACTTCTGAGCAAATGCATATGGTTTGTGTCAAGAATAAGAATACCTGATCTGCTTTCAACACCCTGCCTCATGTTTCTTGGTGATCTGAGGGCTTTTCATCTGCTCATACCTTAGACTGACAATAAGATCTTGCTCTTGCTTTTCCCAAGGGAACTCCACGCCATTATTCCTACTACTTATGTCTAGCTAGAGAAACCACATTTCTTTGCTAAGATTGCCATAACACAGCACCAAACTGGATGCCTTAGACAACAGAAGGGTGTTTGCCCACAGTTCTGAGGCTGGAAGCCAAGATGGAGGTGTTGGCAGGGCTGGTCTCCCTGAAGGCCTCATCCTGGTCTAGTAGACTGCCACTTCCACTGCGGTCATGCCTCTTCCCTGGGATCTGTGTCCCAGTGTCTCATTTTATAAGGACACAGTCCTAGATGATTACAGTATTCCCAAATGGCCTCATTTTAACCCACTACCTCTTCAAAGACCCCGTGTCCCATGCAGTATCCTTGTGACATGCTGCGGATTAGGATGGCAACACGTACTCCTCCTGGGGCCCAGAATCGTATCTCACCTTGCTCACCGAAGAGCTTGGCTCTGAATTGTCAACCAAACTTCCTTGCTTGTGAAACTTCTTAAACTTTTATCTTACATTCACTGTTCCCCATTTGTAAGTTATTTTCAAGTTACAAAATTGTATCCCACCAACATCTTCTGTTTCTAAAACTACTGACTAAAGTTAAACTCAGTGCTAAGATCTTTGGTGTCTCCACACTTGCTGGTATTTCTTTAAATCCTTCTCTAGTTATTCTTACCCATGATAAAGTTTTCTGTAAATACCATCCTATAGTAATTTACCTTTTAAATAGTATGTAGTAAAAAGGCCCGAATTTAAGATCTAACCATTTTATCTCTGCTTATTATTCTTATTCATTCATTAATTTATCTCTCCAAAGAATCCTACTAGTCAACTCTGACAGCCTTTCATAGAAGCCACACTATTCTTCCTCTAATGATGCCTTCCCATGCTTTCTGAATCCAGAGAAAGAACTTGACTTTTTTTTTTTGAAGTGTTTTGGGGTTTTAATGTCATTTGTTTTCCCTACTTCCTTTTGAAAAAATTTTATTGGTATATTGCAGATATACATAATGATCACATTCATTAGAGGAAGTTTGTACCTGCACATGATATATTTTTTTTTTGTCTTTTTGAGGCAGGGTCTCATCATGCTGTTCAGGCTGAACTTGAGCTTACTTCATAGCCCAGGCTGGTCTTGAGCTTGTAATGACCCTCCTGCCTCAGCCTCCTGAGTGCTGGGATTACAGGCATGCATCACCATGCTGGACAAAACTTGACTTCTTTGCCTGAACTTTGTGTCAGGGTTTATAGTCAGGGTATTGTATAGTACCAAGACCATGAAAAAGAATTACTGGGTACAGAGCATTTTTACAAATGTCCTTTAGGTTAACTGATTATGGCTAGGAACATAGATACCAATACTTGACTAAAAGCAATGTAAAAAGCAGCATGTGAAGCTAGAAATATGTAGGGAGGTCACCAAAACAAGGCCAGAGAATTAGATGAGAAAAGTCAGCCAAAAAACCAAACCAAACAAAAATCCACAGCCAAACCAACATCAAACTCTGAAAGCCACTAACACTCATTTGCAAGGGCTGTATTAAGGTAATGTGTTTGCAGTTAAACTATGAAAAGCACGGCTTTACCTGATGGTATGACTTCTCCCTGTTAATGTCAGTTTCTCAATTAAGTGTTCACTTTATCCATCTTCACATCGCCCGTCACAGTCTTTCACACAGAAGAAGAGAACGGAACAGCAGTCCAGAGAGAACGTGGTAGGTGAGGCTTGGGCAGACAGAAAGAGGCTCATTAAGTGCGCCAAAGCATGGCTGTAGTGAAGGAATCTTTCCCCGTTCTTCTGTAGCAGAGTAGGAGTAACTTGATTGAAACAATCTACGGTATATTCCGAAATCACTGGAAGAGTATGAAAATGCTCACACATAAAAATGACGAATGGCTGAAGAGTTGGAAATGCTCATTACCCTGATTTTATTATTATACAATGCACACACAAATTACTGCCATGCCCTATAAAGATGCATAAACACTATGTCTCAATAAAAATTGTATGAGGAAAACCTATTCTGTTGTGAGAGGCAGGGCTACCCAGGTGTGGCTGAGTGGCTGGCTCAGCAGCGTCATCAAGGAAACAGGATTTGGTGCTGTGCTCTTCAGCTTGGCCCTGTCACACGGAACGCAGAAAGAAACCTGTTCCATAATGGGTTCCCCGCATAGTCAGGAGATGACTAAAGCAGTGACCGTCTTCATTTCTGGTTATGAAAATATCCAGTGACAGAAAGGATGCTTCCTCCTTATATCATTATGTATTCAAATGTCATTTTTAATAGTTGTATTAGATCGCATGAGCTGCCATTCACTGGGTAGCCTGAATAATACATCTATATCATCGCACAGTTCTGAAGGTTGGAAGGAGGAGGTTTTTTTTTTTTTTTTTGGTACCATCAATTGAACTCAGGACCTTGTACTTGCCAGGCAGTCACTGTGTGGCTGAGCTATATCCCTAGCCCATGAAGGCTGGAATGCAAGTGGCCTCTTTGTGTGGACACATCATCTTTTCCCTGTGTGCAAATCCCTATGTCTCCTGTGTGCTCAGATTTCCTCTTAAAAGGACAATAGTCAGATTAGATTAGGGACCTCCCTTTTTTTTTTTTGTGGTGGTACTGGGTTTTGAACACAGGTCCCTTATATTGAACTATATCCACAGCCCTTTTTATTTTGCAGTAGCATCTCACTAAGTCACTAAATTGCCCAGGCTGAGGTTGAACTTGGTGATCTTGCCTCAGTCTCCCAGAGTGCTGGAATTACTGGCATGTGCCATTACACTCAGCTTGGCCCAATTGAATCTTAGTGACTAAGGCCATATCTTTGAGGCTTAAAGGCCATATCTTCGAGGACAGCTACATTGTGAGGTACTATAAGTTAAAGCTTCAGCATAAGAATTTGGCAGGACACATAATTAAGTTCATAATGGTGGGAAATCTTCCTAGAACATCTTCCCTCTTGTCTCATTGGGCAGAATTGTGTTATATGTCCAAGCATAGCCAATGCCTGGAGAAAGGCATCAGCCATTATTACTGGCATGGGTCCATCAGGATTTACTGTTGGCCCTAAAACTGGGCTCACCCTTCCTTGGTCTACGTGTCAGGAAGAGGTGGGCACCAAATCAAACTGGGGCCCTTGAGGATGGCAGCGACGGGGGAGGACTGTGGAGAAGGCAGCTGATTTGGGACCACAGTAATTACTACCCTGTGATCCATGGGTGATTTGGGCCAAAAAGGGTCAGGAGCCAAGAAGACTATAAATACACTGACCTTTGGTCACGCCTGAGAAACTGAAACCAGACACTCGGGAGCCTTTCAGAATGTTAAGCTAGAGAGAGTGGTTAAAAGGGAAGCTGGCATGTGGGGGGACAAAGGAATAGATAATCAGAGGCCAAATGAAGTAGACTTTGAAAGGGTGGCTCAAGAAATAGTTCCGCAAATCTTAGCCAGATGTGATGGTGCATGCCTGTAATCCCAGAACTCAGAAAGATGAGGCAGGAGGATTGCTGAGTTCGAGGGAAGCCTGGGCTACAAAGTGAGCTCAAGGCCAGCCAGAAGTGCAGAGCAAGACCCTGCCTCAAAATAAACAAACAAAAACAAAAAAATGCATGAATCTTGACTTTACAGAATAAGTAGTGAATTATGCCCTTGATGAACTTCTTAGATATCAACTTCTTAGATATCAACGTCTTAGATATTTGTAAAATAGGTATGTGAAAATAGGTGATTTCACAAATTTGAAAGGCTGAATAAGACAATTAGGTGAAAGTATTAAACTAGTAAATTATTAAAATATAAAACAGTATATGGATATTAAAAGTTATGATAATGTGACATTAATAGCATTTCCTGCTTTCAATTTGTCTCTGGCACAGTTGAAGAGAGACATCTAATTCAGTAAAGATTTAGTAGAATTAACAGGCTCTGTCATGTATCTAATTTTTACTCCTGAGATCCTAATTTGCTCTATAATTGTTAGATCACATATGATACCTGGATTAAAAAAATGCAATGTTCCAAATACTTATCTCCAAGCTTTCGTCTGTCTCGGTGTAAACATATCCCTGGGTGGATATGCAGCTGCACCCCTGGGTGCGAGTGTACCTGTATGCCAAAGGGCAGATACATGTGTGTGACAGTTACACATCAGAATATGGACTTACTGGTTCAGTGTTTCTACTTCTGTCTTTGGAGAAAAAGTTTGCAGTCTCAACTCTTTTAAAGGCATTTAAAATTTTGATTTTTTTTTTTTTTTTTTTTGAGACAGAGTCTTGCTGTGTAGTCCAGGCTGGCCTTGAATTCACTGTGTAGTCCAGGTTGGCCTCACACTCACACCAACTGTCCTGCCTCAGCCTCTCAAGTGCTGGGATTACAGATGTGTGCAACCATGCCCAGCTAAAATTTTGATTCTTAAAGCAAACAACTTTCAATTTTGAATATTTGTGACTATCTCAGTCTTTTAAGTTTGATATATAAAAATGACTGTAGCGATTTCATTAATTATAGTGAGTCCTACATGAGCTCACGATGATCATGGACTTGATGCTCGTTTCTTTTACAGTTAAAAGTGATGGCAATGATGTTGACTTTCACTCATTCTCTACCACATGTGGCTACTATCATTCTTATCGCACTATGTACAGCACTCTTTGCTGTACAGTTGTATCTTAGCATGGGTTCCCTGGAAGCAGAACTTGAATAAAGGGTTGTTTTCAAACACTGTACCGAGGAGTATCAGCCCAGGAAGCAATGATAAGATGCAAAATAGCAGAGATGCGAAATGAGGGTTTATCACCAAGTGCATGTTTCTGCATACAACGAGATGCTCAGTTATCCGTCCAGATGAAATGCATGTTAGCTTGTCCCAAGAGGGGGAGAAATCTTTACCTATCATTAATCAAATGCCTTTCTTTTGCAGGAAGCATAGGGATGGCAGAAAGTATCCTTCTGTGTCTTTTCATGGGTAATCATCAACAGGAGCACCCAGGTTAAGGTGAGAGCTCTGGGATCGGCGCATGTGATGCCCTGGAGGTGTCTGCAGACCTGCAGACCAGCTGCTGCACCTGGCAGGGATGCAAGACAGATTGATGCTGTCTTCCAGATAGAGTCTGAAAGGGTGTGTAAAGACATTCATAATACGATGTATATAATATAGATGTAAAACTGTACGTGCTCAGTATATATGTAACTATGTGTATAATTCTGATTGACTAGGGTTTTAGTCTTTAAATAACATTACTAGTGCATATTTATGGTACAGATCTTTTATTCACATTTATGTAGAAATATGAAAATTCTCCTTCTCCATGCTTTAAAATGCTGACATGCCCAGTTTAAAATGTTTTTGAGAAATTTTATATTCAAGAGGTCCCATTTTATACTTTCTTTGAAAATTAAGAGAAACCATAATGATTGATGACTGATGCCATTTAGGGAATTGCTCTTATTTTTAACTTAGCAGGCAATATAAAATAAGTGCTCGTAAGACCAGCTTGAGTGTGAAGGTGCTTAATTAAGATCTGTCACATAGTAAGAAAAGAAAGAGCACCTATGAATTAAAAGGCAACAATAGCAAAAGCGCCTGCCTGGCAAGCGCAAGGTCGTGAGTTCAGTTCCCAGTACCGGAGAAAAACCAAAACCAAAAAAACTAAAAAAAAAAATAAAAGGCAACAATATCTTTCAGTCACTTTTTTTTGATGTCCACCTAATTAATGTTGAGGAGAGGCATTCATGTTTCTTGTGACCTCAGTATGCTTTTAGGTACAACATCTGGGCTGCATGGCTTGCTGGGTCTGGGTTGGGACACGATGGACTGCCCAAACCAAATGATCACCTGCCTTTTACGGTGACTTATTCCTGTAACTAGAGTTACCATGGCCGTATGTTGATGAGAGGTCAGTTGCAGTGCCCGTGGTTAACTTTGTCTCTTAGGAACAATCACCTTCAGTCACACCCGCAAGTTGACGTTAAAGATTTTCTTTGGGTGGTTTTGATGAAGGAAATCCTGGTCTGTTCGACATTATTTTTCAGAAGTTATCTCCAAAAAGGTTAGCATCTAGAGAGGAGGACCCTTGGTACTACTGTGTTCTTTCAGTATCAAGGTAAAATATCTACTGGTAAAATTTAAGGTGGGGGTTAAATTTTGGACAGGGAAAGGAGTTTGTCAGCCAGCAGAGCACAGTATGTGCGAGACAATTTGCTGAGCTTCTCTGAGTTGAATCATTTCTCTGTGCCACTGGTGCACAGGCTACGGATGGCTTTACACTAATTGACATCCATCTGTTTGATTTCCCATTATAAACTGTTCTCTTAAATTGCAAGTAATGTTTAGATTTTTCTTGCCCTCTCCTGTAACCACATGGCATATTTCAATCAGACTCAGCCGCTAATGGACACATGTAAAGAAGGCTAACTTACTTGATTTACTATATGCATTTTAAATTATAAAAGTAATATAGAAATATTCAGAGATAGGAAAAACAAAATATAATCTGTAAACCTGCAACACTAACAAAATCAGTTGTTCTTTTATTTTTCTTTGTGTGTAGTTTATATTTGAATGATTGAAACCACATTGTACGTAACTGTTTAGTTTTACTGTATCTTTTTCAGTCAAGGAAATCTGTTGCTGTTCTTGTAATGTAAGTTAAACTTGTTAACTTCTAAGTGATGGTCATTTAGCCAGAAAGCAGGCATGCTTAACTGTCATCCCTGTGCAGAAGAAGTCCCAGCAGCAGGACTGTGTTTGACAGCAAAAAACACAGTGCAGGACTACTCAGGACTTCATCAGGACTACTCAGCAGTGTATTTATAATGGTGAAAAGTTGGGCAAAATACGGTGGTGTAAAAATAGGATATTGATAGATAGGTAATATTTCCATGATGGAATAATAACTATTGAAATGTGTTGAAGGAGTGTGTATATTTACTAGGAAAAATAGTTGTGGTCTACTACTAAGGGAAGAATTAGGCTGGCAGCAGCGTCTTAGCTGGTTTGGGCAGCTGTAAGAAAACACCATTGGACAAATAGCTTAAACATTTATTTTTCACAGTTCTAGTAGCTGGGACATCCACATCAAACTGGGAGCAGTGGTACCTGGTAAAGGGTCCATTCCTGCTTTTCAGACGGTCTTCTTGTATTCTCACAGGGAATACACGAGTACTCTCAAAACAATACTTTTCCTGTAAGGGTACTAATCTTCCATCACCTCTTGATCTAATTACTTCTAAAGACCCAACCTCCTAATACCATTTTACAGGAGTTAGGATTAAAACATAAGAATTCTGAGGGACACAAACATGCAGTTAATGACAAAAAAATGCATGATATAATTCCACGTAAACACCTTCGCATGTGTCCACATGCACACTCACATATAGAAAGATTAACAGCGATTGTCCCTGGTTTATGAGATTACCATGACATCTATTTGGCTTTAGTTGAAGGTAACCAAAGCTATATCAGAAAGAAATTTTAAAAAAGAATCAGGTGCTTACAAAATCACTGGAAAGGCTAGAGGCTTGACTACAATCCAAACATGACTCTCAGACACATCAAGTTGGTGGCTCCTTCTGCACATCTGGAAGCTGCTGCCATGACTGCTGGTGCCAGGACCAGGTCAACTCAGCTGAGATCTGCACCAGCAAAAAGATGGTCATGAAGCCAGAAAGCAGATATGCTTAACTGTCATCCCTGTGCAGAAGAAGTCCCAGCAGCAGGACTGTGTTTGACAGTAAGAACCACAGTGCAGACAGGGCCTGCTTTCTGATTTCCAAATCTTAGCAGGCACATCTGCTGGGCGGAGACCAGTAACTGTATGGAAACGGAGCTCAGTGAGCTTTCTGGCGTTCAGTCTCCCACATGCAGGTGGACGGCTCCAGAGGCGTTGCCATCCAGTGTGACCATCCAGTGTGCCCCAGGGGGCCCGCAAGTTGATTACAACATCATCCTTTACACTTCTGGTGCTTTTCTTTTTGAATTTCTCATCCCTGAGCACACATTGCTTTTATGATTAAGAAAAAGTTTTTATGATTAGGTAATTTTCTGTGTTACTACACAGGTTTTATAGCCATCATTTTTCATGTGATCTGCCTGGCTTTCTCCTGAAAAAGAATTTCCCAGACTTTCCTTCTGTAACATGAGAACAAATTTTGTGTTTTCATAAAGTTACAAAAATATTCAAACCTATCTGAAATGAAAAGCAGAAAACCACACAGTAAAAGGTAAATAGAATGAGGATAAAGAGCACAAATATTTAGGAAAAAAAAAAAAAGAAAAAAAATAGCTATTTTTCATTCTAGGGCCACAGTGACATACAGTTTTACTGTGTTGACCAACTTACGACATGGCACATAAAAATGCTCCTTCCACAGCTTCTCTGTGAGGGCTGAGAAAGATGTGTTTGGAAAATGAGTCTGGTAGAGTCAGTCATATAAGACTACCTGTCAAGCGGCAGATTGAATGTGGTGACACTTACGATGCTGCCTACCGAAGGAGAGTGGCTTGAACATAAAAATAGGTCTGTGTCCTAGAGAAGGAGCCTGTTTTCTTCCCCATGGTGTGTGTCTGCAGACTTGTTTCCCTCTGGAATACCAATCCAGTTTGATTTGACTGCTTCCTCTTCTATATTTCTGAGATGTCTGCTGAACGCCTGCCAATACGCAATGTGGGAAAAAAAAATTCAAAAATTTTGTGCAACATGGCACAAAATTCAGACAAGATCCCTTGTTCTTTAAAAACATTTTGTTGAGACAGACAGAGTCACAAGTTCAAGGCCAGCCTGGACGACATAATGAGACCCTGTCTCACAAACAAAACCAAAAATAAACCCCAAACTGAAACCAACCAATCAAACAAAAAAGAACTGCAAGTTCAAAAGCCATGGCAGATTTTTATCTAGAAAATAATTTTATGGTAGATTGGTCGTATATTAACTAGAGCAATATTTTTCAAGCTTAGAAAGTACTGGGGGAAAAAAGCCCTACAAACTTCTTCAGAGAGGCCAAGTTGGTAAATTAATTGCATGACCTATGACTGGGAGTTTCAACTGCTTCTAGAGATGCTTCTGATTAGCGTGGAGTTATCCACAACTGAGGCCAGAGGAGATAAGGACGTTCTGTACTCTGCTACGACACACACATAAGTCTCTCAGTATCAGTCACTGTGAAAAACTAAAAGAGCGATTTTGTTGGCAATGTAGTTAGAGAGATGGTGCCAACCATGCACCCATGTCCCTTCCTACTTGTCCTCCCAGGTCCCAGTTACCAGGGGGTTTCCAGGTCCCAGTTACCCCAGAGGGTTTCCGCTGACTCTGAGCTGGGCCAAGGGCCTTCTCTACCTGTGATCTGATGACAAGAGTGTCTCCCGGCTTGCAGGTAGAGGAACGAAGGACGCAGCAGTAACAGCAATGGTTTCTCCTTGCGGTCAGAGCTGAGCGCAATGGCGTTTCTTTTCTCTCTGTTCTTTTCACTCAAACCTGTCTGTGTCTGTCTCTAACTGATCCATCTTCCCCAAGACTGCTACATTATACCGAGAGTTTAATTTGTGTGTGTGCGTGTGGTGTGAGCCCCAGGCCTTTGCACTCAGCTATGGCACAGCCCTTTTATAAGGCTTTTCAGTCTGAAACAGGAGCTTACTAAGTTGCCCAGGCTTGGCTGAACTCCTGCCTCAACCTCCTAGCATGCAGGGATTGCAGGCGTGCATCACCGTGCCTGGATTAAGAGATTAATTTTTATTTGGGGGCATTACTCTATGTGGTTTTCAGAGAAGCACACACTTTTTTAAAATTTTATTTTAAAGAGAGTAGTAAATAAGAAACAAACAAACAAATAGAACAGGAGCAGCATACCAGTATCACAAACATAAACAAATTAAAGCAAGAACATTCAAGTGATACAGAGTCTCAAGACAAAATAATACGAATCAACAGTGGTTGTTACATTACATACCGCTATCCTCAACTACATTGCTCAGATTACCAGATGTAAGAATGCAAGAGTGCTGAAACCATTATAGGGAATAAGAAAATAATTCTTTGATAAAACAGAGATAATACAGAGTTTCACTAGACAAGCTGGTAGGC